ATCTCTCCTCTCTCTTTGCTAACAATGAACACTTACTCGTTTTGATTATTATTCCCCAGCACTGAGTGTTCTCCTCCTAAGCTTTTTCTACGGCCTCTGCGAGCGGAATATAATTGTACGATGATTTGAAATAACAGCGTCTCCCGATGGAGAGATAGTTTTTCCCCTCTCTTGGCAGTGGTGATTTGATAATCATCCCCTTTTATATACTCCTGGGCCTTTGACTCTCGTGTAGAGATGCTGAGTATATGTAGAGTCAGAACACTCGGGTCTTCAGCTGCACGGCCCCAAAAACAGCAGCACGTCGATTGGAAAGTTCATTAAGTGATGTCAAATCTCATTTTCTGAGTCAGATTTTAATACGGGCTGTTTTTCATTTTTAATACATTTTTATTAAAACCAACGTGGAGCAGACTATAACAGCATCCACTACTGACTCGTTCTTTGCGCTGACAGTACTCGGCGCAAAGAATACTACTCTCCCTTTTGTGTTCTTTCTCTCTAATGTCAGCCGTTGTGGCCCGGAGCCAGAGGTCTGTGGATAAAGCAGATCACTCTGCGTCAGAACTGACATTTAAAAGAGCAAGGTGTGCATTTTTAAGTGGATCGCCGGGCTGTAAGTTTTGTGGGGGGCGGGGGGGTCGGGTTAACCCCTCCCTGATGTTCGGCCTCAGCACGTCCATGCGTGTACGGTCCATTTTTGCCCGCTGATGGCTGCAGAGAAGGCTCTGACTGACTTTATAGTTGGCATAAATGAAGATTCTGACGTCAGGACCAAAAAGACGACCAGGTCCCAGCAGTGAGACGGCGGGACGGCCCCGACGCAGATGAATGTGATGACTTTGTCTTTTTAAAGACATTTTACACCGTAGCATAACGCAGTTTAACGCAGCAAGGTTAACGCCTGCATTGATTTATAAATTAATAACTGTTAGGCAACGCTAAGGGTTATTAGTTTATAAATCAGTGCAGGCTAACCGCCCCCCCCCCCCCCCCCCCCCCCCCCCCCCGCCCCCCCCCCGCGCACCCCCCACAC